AAATGTGAAAACCCGACTGTGCTAAAGCTAAGCGAGGCTGTAGGCTGATTAGGGTAGGAATGAGGACCAGTATCCTGAGATGTTGGAAGGAGGTGAGAAAGGAATTAAGAGGATAGATCTCAATATAAAAAGTAAGGAAAGTTTCACAAAGTGATAGGAGGATAAGAAGTAATGGCTTGATCTACACCTAGGTGGAGGACTAAGTACGAAAAGTGGCGAGAAAAGGTGTGGTGTTGAGGTCTTCTAAAATAGGAAATACATTTCAATCTCCAGAGGTGTAGAAGAGATAGTCGATGAGTAGTGATGGAGAGCAATTGGTAGTTTATAAGATCTACTTAAATATATGTAAGTTCTCCTCTACTGTGAAATTTAACTACCTCTTAACATAAAGAACTTATACAGTGCAGCTACAGGATTAACAATATTATGTTTTACTATTTCATTTCTTCAACTGTATTACTAAGAAGTTGAGACTCTTATTATATTAATTCCCTAAAGAGTTCATTTTGGTGAGCTCTTACTCTTGGGATGCATTTTCCTATAGTTTACCCCTGTTATAGTATATTGTTAAGCAAAAACCTCACTTAACTCTTTCTTCACCTGGGTGATTATTTGAGCTTATTGTTGGCATTTTTCTGAGTAGAGGTTACTGGTCTGGTACCAGAAGAATCAGGTAGTAAAGAAAATATTTTCCAACCTGGGTACTGTTGACTCTAGCGAACAGGTATGCTATAACACTAATTTGATGAAATATTTACCCTAACATGCTGTTAGGCGGAGACAATCTAATAAACTTCAGAATTGTCTAAACCAATCAAAATTCGTTTCTATAGCTGGAGATTGTCTCGGAAGGCTCGGGTTTACTCGTTTCGTTTATAGCTACTAAGAGTAAAGTAAATTTGGTAAAGTAAGAGAGAATCGTAAGACAATATTATATTTTTAAGGTCTCTTCTCTATTACTTGATAATGTTTAAAGCTTGGGAGGCGCTTCGATATTTATATTCTGCATCTGAGTATTTGTGGACTACATTAATTTATTATACAACTATATACCTTTCTGATTATAACTCAAAATATTGGGTATTCTTGAAAGGTGCAAACACCTGGAGACCCTGAAAATCACCACACCCTCTTTGGAAATTCTAATATAACTAACTCAGAACTATACTGTTCCCAATAGTAGTTATCCGATCTTTAAAGTCTTTTGACTTGTAGCCTAGGTCTCAAGTTGAACTCAGTTATCTTCAATTGTCTCCATCTTTGATGAATTGATCAGTTTCATCTGGGGGTTGTATCTGCGAATGTAGTCGCAATCACAATTTTTTTTCAGATCACCTGACTTTAAAACTTCGCAACTCTTTACCCAACTGATAGATATCTTCTGGAGGGCTTCCTACTAATTCACATCCACTATTCCACTAGATTGACAAATATTCCCTCGATCGGCAATCCTTGGTTGCTCTGGGTAACAGGGTTTCAATCACTATTACGGTATTGGAAGTTCTTCCTGTAACTACAATATGTTCCGAAACCTAGTTGCAACACTCTATGAAGTCTAATTGCTTCTATAGTAGTGTCCCTCGGAGTTCTAGACTTTTTCAGATATTGTAGGATGGATGTGAATATATTGGTCTCTTGCTGAAATCCTTTACCATTCAATACCATCTCTTTGTGCAAAAACGTCCTAATACCTACAGTTTATTCCAAAGGTATCACATATTTGAAGCCTAGTAACCTTCTGAGTAGTGGACGGACTTACTCCGTTCTACTTCTCAGAACTAGCTGAAGGTCTCTCCTCATATACCCTGCGAACAGGATCTAGTCGGATGGACGGCAGCGTCATATCTGGTGTTATTCTGACATTTTCAATTGTATGGTATTATATTCACAGGATGCAAATGAGATTAATATGTATGATGACACGTGGGCCCAATAAGGGGACCGGAGGAGGGTGTTGGAGACTAGAAATTCCAATTCCGGGTAGAGTTACCCTACTTAGTATGACTCCTAGATATCGGATCCCGATATTCCTAATATACGCATCGTCCCTGATAGGAGTCTGTGTTCACACTTATTGAAGCTACCCTTATTGAACTACCAAACATGATTACTGACCCTGCTGTTTCAGCTTCTTTTACCTTATTACAGTCCTTCATTAGCTCAAATATAGATGTTGAGATGCAGGAAGCCATGAGAAAGGAAACCAGATTCCCACCTGAGTTCACATTTGCCAAATTTACCCTCAAGTTTATCAAGGATTATTTCTTTTCACAAGTTACAAAGCAGTTACACGCTGCCCAGACACAAATGCAGTACTGGAATAAAGAATCACAATAGGTATTTCAGGAGCAGATTGTGGAACAGGCTAAGACATGGATGCAGGTACAGTAATTCAACTTTTATGTAATAGTGTAAAATCAAAAGCACATAATGGATCATCTGGCAGCATTGGAAAAGGTGGTTGTTTAAAATAATATGGTAATAACAGCTCTTTTTCAGTTCCAAACTGTATCTATTGTGTCCTACTCTGAGGTTTTAATTAACTATTTAAATGATACTTACTATACAGGACTATTTTCAGAGGCAGGATTAGTATTGGCTTGAGGATAACCCACCTACTCCTTACTTTTGAATCATCACATTGCTGATCAAGTCTCCACTGCTCTAGCGGAGGCTAGCAATAAATATCACTGGACTTCATGTCCAGCTTTGCGCTCAAGACTGCCTACAGAGGAGTGGTTCAGATCTACTAATACTATGCACCGAATGAGACAATAAGACCTCTTCTGCTTCTTTCACCAACCTCCATACCAGCTGTTACTATTCCTCCTACCTTTTGTAAAAGAGCGGTTCCATCTCCAATTACACAAAAGATACCTAGGTTCTTTACTCCTCATTCTGTCCTGCAAGGTTCTTCGCAGCAGTTCACCCATAGCTTTTTACTCATTAGTCATGGGATATTACAATCAATCTCTTCTATATACTCGACTAACTGTACAATTCAAGAGGCTTTGCTGATTTTACTCTACTGAGCTGTGGCCCACATTGTCACTTCAAGCATATAAAGAATGACATAGTTACTTGGTAACATACTGAAAATTGCACAAGAAAATTGCATG